AAAGAGCCTGCCGGTCCTTCCGGTAAGGGCAAACAGGTGGTCGAGGAGGAAGAGGAGGTACTTCTCACTGATGAAGCTGAAAGCCCCGAAGAAGATGCAGCTAGGGGCGAAGGCGCAGGAGTTGGTGTCGATGAGGAAGAACTCGGGACAGGTTTATCGGATTTCTTTTTCTCCTCAGGATGGTATATGAGTCTGACAATCGCTCGTCGGACTTGCCCATCCGATTTGCCTAAGTCTCCAAAGGCTCCAAAGAAGCTGAGACAGAAAGTCTTATTTACTTATCCTAACAAAATGACGGTTGACTTTTCAGGTGGGGGCGCTGATGAAGAAGTTGAAGAACCTCGCCTCCTCCGTCGGACGAGATCCCGATCTTTAGCTCAGGTTCTTCCAAGGGTCGACTTGCGCACCAAGTTTAGACATGAAAGACCTGCCGCTTCTAAGAAGGCTCAACCTGCGAAGCGAGAGAAGGTGGTGCACAAGCCACGTACGGAGTTACCGGCTTTTGAGGGAGAGCTGTTTGGCGATATTCATGTTGAATGTAACATCTCACCTTGTAATTTTTCGTACTTCGGGCCAGTGATATGCTGAATATATATATATCTCATTGTCGATCCGCAGGGAGTCTTGAAGAGGGTGAGCTTCCATATGATTCTCTTCCTGGTTTTACCCATTTTGAGAGGTCAGGCTTTAGGCAACAGATGCGCGAGGCCATGGGCGAGGAGGCTTGTGACCCTGAAGTTGGAGCGGATGCCGATGTCGAACCTGATCCAATTACCGAAACCACTGTAAGAACTTCAAGCCCGGGTATATCTAACACCGACAGTATCTCATTCAGGTTGCACAATTAAGAGAGTTGAACGATTCAGAGTCCGTGCCTCCCCTAATTGCTTCTGCGCTTTATGCTGTTTTAGAGAAATTAAAGGGAGCGGGCCTAAGTGCCAAGGCCGCGGAACCTGTTGCAGCCACCGAAGGTGAGCGCGACCTCCACTTGTCGTAAATTCCGTTTTTCCTTTAGCTTAAAATTCAAGTTTTCTGTAGATGTCACGATGGAGGGCTCAGTCGAGGAGGAAGCTTTCCATGGTGGGCATATCAGTGAGTTTGGCGAACATGCATTCGATTCAGCTAAAGCTGGAGTTAACCATACTGTCTGAGCTACACAACCAACAGATGGAGCTGGTACGTCTACAACTGTTATGTCTGCGACAATTCCATCTGTTCACGAGGTTAGATCGGCTGGACCAAGCGCGGGGCATCAAACTAAAGGAGCTTCTGTTGGCGCTGGTAAGTTCTGCCTCATGACTTTTTTCATGATTCTGGCTATATTAATCGTGCTCTTTGGAATATTGATCTGTCCTTTTTTTACAGAGCTTTCGTCATCCTTGTATGATTCCATTATGGCCCTGATATCAGATGGCGATCCTAGCAGGTCGGCTTTTGCTTGGACCTCCGCACACTTGCCTTCTTCGTGGGCTCGATGATTGACAAAATCCTTCACAAATGATTTTCTTTTAACCTGTTCAGGCAATCTCTCGACCCTCTGCGGAGCGGTCTTGAGGCAGCTACACTGATAATATTGCCCCGATAAGCCTCTCACAAGGATAGTGAGAGTTTGTTTCTCGAGCATTTCTTTTTTCCGAGACTTGTTCATACCCCCGTCTGACAGTACAACTCATCGATATTATGGTCGGAGCAACCTATCTTGTGTTAGCACGATTCCGTAGGTATAATGTTGTCTGACGAACACGTCTTCTTTCGGGGATGTGTCATCTTATTGGCGTTCTCAGGAGTTGCACGTTTAGAACCACCCCTTGCGGGTGTGGAACCTCAACGAGCTCATGGACTTCGACACACACCCCTAAGCAGGTGGAAATCAGAGTTTTCCCAATCTGAGATGACTTTGACTTGATAGGAGGACGCGCACGACCCTCAGTCTGAAAAGTCACTTGGGATTTATTCACCAGACCCAAACGTTCTTTCACCAGAGGTTTGCCTCAATTCTTGTGCACAAGACCAAGGCGATCAGCCACTGTTATCTTAAATTTAGACAGATCCCCGCTGTCGTGAAACTTCACCGGAGGTATGGAAGAGATCGGAGCATGAACATAGGCTAACAGAAGCGGAGAAACGGTTGCAGGAGAGTCCGTTTGGGCGAGACACTTCATTGTGTCTCGGCCTGCGAGACGCTTCAAAGTGTATTAGTCTGCGAGACACACTGATGTATCTCGGCCATCAGGCGATGGTTCGGTCGTCTTCCGAGTTGATTTCAACACCGTTTCGGACTTTGGCATCAAGACTTGGCGCGGTTTTGGTGGTTTTTTGGCCACCTCTTCTTTCTGTTATTCCTGTGCCTTCTGCACAAGAATACGCGCGTGCGCAAGGAGTGCACGATGTTTCTGGATGCTTTCGAGTTGAACGAGTCCTTTTGACACGGACCTATTCGTTGGCTGACGGCTTGGAGGAAGAGTCAGTTAGTTGCCGTTGAGGCGGCTGAATCGCTTGACGCCTCCTAAACTTTAGATCCGCGTGATAACGGATCCCGTCAACCGGCTCCAAGGTTTTGACGAGTTGACGTACGAGACGTTGGCGCTGCCTCTGACGAGCTCTCTTTGTCAGAACTGGCGCGCCTTCAGCAAATAACTCCTTGACCAAAGAGGAGTTATGAACAGAAATTCCGGCTTCATTGAACGTCGGAGGAGTGTTACGAGGAGTAGCCTCAACAACGATCGGGCGAGAATCATCACCCGCGGTCTTTGAAGACTGAAACATCTTCTTCGATGCTGAAATCTTCCCGTACTCGTGGGACGAGGAAGATCTTGATGAAGAGGAGAGATACTCCTCAAACTTAGCCTGGTCGAATTCGTATTCGACCTCTGCATCAACCGGGATTTTGATCTTCGGTTGCGACACTACAACCTCGACAGAGAGGCTGTTGGCTCCCACTGTGATCGCCAGCGTGTTTGCGTCAGAAATTGATTTCATTGTGGAATCCATTACAATTGTTTATCAATTACAGATTCAAAGAGAATCTAGCCTTTTTATAAGACTTCTCGCTTACACAAATGAAATAAAAAAAAAATTTCTTATAAACACACGCAGGATTGTTTATCGGCCGCTACTTACGTGGAATCTTTGACTGTGTCGGAGACGTTTTGATCCGTGGACCGCCGGATAACAGATCCGGGTTGATCTGAAAGAAGGCTCGATGTTTTTTGTTTCAATTAAGGAAACTTAGAACAGAAGTGAATAACCTCAACAAAGTGAAATTACCACTCTTCTCAAGATCAAAACAATGTCTGATTTCAAGAAAATGGGTGGAAGGCTATGAATCTCTCGAAATTCTCCCTTTATGTTCAGAAAATCGCTAAGACCTCGCCCCTCTCTCTGTAAATCGTGGCTCTGCTCTGGATAACATGAGTTCTCTCGCATGTTCGTTTGTCAGTCAACCGTCAGTACCCTTCACAAATTCATGAAAGGGGGTATTTATAGGGCTTGAAGTCATGTTTGCAGATAAGAATTCGTGATTTGGCCTTATCTTCAGTTAATAACAGCTTTATCACGTTTAAAGATAACCCCAAGGCAGTTAGGAGGCCACTAGAACGAACGAATCACGAGAAATCTATTGAAAAACGCATCGTCGGGAGGCTGATCGGGCGAGGCACTGATATGTGTGCGAGACACATCTTTGTGTCTTGCCTGCGAAACACATTGAGGTGTCTCGCATGTGAGACACGTTGGCGCGTGCCTTGTTCTGCTGTTTTGTCGATTTTTGTGCTTCTTTGTTTCGCTGATTCGCGCATTCCTTTCCTTTGCTTCCTTTTGGCATCAGATTAACTTATTTGACTCAGATAGTGACGTTCATCGTATTCTCTTTGTCTCGAGCTACTTGCGGGAACCTATAGGCAAATTTTGATGCCTATAGTTTGGAAGCAGTGAAGTGCAAGATTTATATCATATAAAGTGTCTTTTACATACCCAGAGATCTGCAATTGAACCTGATTGGTATATAAAAATCTAGATTCACAGGTTAGATATGGTCCAAAAATCAAGATTTTTGAGTGGCGGGGTTGTCAAGCTGGGGATGTCATTACTAGTTGGAAATTGAGGATTTCGGGGTTAATTGGCAAATATGCAGATTTGAGGGGTAAAAATGCAATTATGGAAGATTTTGGGGGTATATAGGCAAGTAACTGTTATTTATATATGTATCGTACACACTGTTGCTTGATCTGTTGCATCTTTGTGAGCTACTTTCACGTAAAATTTCCATGTATCCATGTCTATGTTTTATAGATCATGTCTCTGCTTTACTAGCATATATTGATGTATAAGGTATGTATAAATACATAATAATCTACAGAATTATCATATTTATGTGTAATTGATCAATACTTATAAACATAATGGTTCAAGCCGATAAGTATATAATTTTTATATAGCTGAAGGTGCGTGGAAGTACATAGAAATTTATATTAGATACTGCTTTTAGAATTGGAAAAACTAAAGAGTTCTGAGTCACGACATATTATAGCCTCCAAGAATACATGTGTATCGCCCTCTTTGTCCCTCCCTCTCTTTAGGTATGTAAATCAATTATAGAATTTTTAAAAGAATGTGTGACTGCATAGTGCATACATATTTATATAATTTTATTAGATGGCAGTTGTGGAACTACTATAATATAAGAGTTCTAAGGCACAATATGACAGTTTGCAAGTTTATGTGTATGCGAAATCATGAAAACAATAGTTTTGACTTTTTGAGGTACATCATTGCATAGTTTGCAAGCTCTTTCTTCTCCCCTTCCCCACTCTCTCCCATGCTCTCTCTCTCTCTCAACCTTTTATTCTCTCCCTTCTTTCCTCCCTTATCTATCGTCGTGTAACATATTGATCCTAATCCTAACTAATTTTTCTTAAAATTATACTGTTACAGTTCTGATAAAGATGAGCCAGATGTTAATGAAGTTGAATCATCAATGCTGGGCTTACAAAGCTATTGGGATGCTTCCTATGCGGAGGATCTTGCAAATTATCAGGAGCATGGTCAAGCTGGTGAAATTTGGTGAGTAAGACCTTTAGATAAAAACAATTTCTGCCATTAGGATAACCATCTCACTAAGTAAATGCATTTTCTATTATTTGTAATATTTGATCCACATAATGTTCTCATTAGGTTTTTATTCCTAATAGCTTTGGCTTGTCCTATCATTACTTTGGATATTCTCCTGAAAAACTGAAAAACTGATATTAAAAGAACTGTGCTTTTGTTTATCCGTATTGTTTAAATCATATTAAGCTGCTTTCCTTACGAAGTTACGATATGCAATTATATAGGGGCAAAAAGTCATAACTGTAAGGGGGGGTTATTCGTTGGTGTAATTTGGGGTAAATTGGGGTAAATTATTCCAATGGGGTAATTTTACCCAATGGGATAATTTGAGTGGGATAAAGTGGGGTAAAATGGGGTAATGAGACAATTTGAGTGGGACAATTGGTATGACATCTTTTTATAATATTATATTTATAGCTCAATTAAGTTCAAGTTTAACTTGATATAACATCAAATGATTAAATAAATAATAGTTATAATATACAATAATATTATTTTTTAAAATTATTTTAATATAAAATATTAAAAATAATATAATAATAATAATATTATTAATATTAATCAATATTTAAATATTTTGATGTTTATTTTAACTATTATACTATATTAATAAATTTTTTAATTGCAATAATTATTTAATCATTCATACATCTATTACCATGATGATGATAAAGTCTCAATTATTACAAATAAAGTCTCAGTCGGTAACTTAAATCTTAATTATTACAAATATAATCTACCGGCATATAACTTTGCTTTAGACTCCTTGGGCTACGTTTGTCCCATCCTCCCACATTGTGTTTGCTATTTGTTCTCTCCAACGTGATGCAGCTGTCCTTTGTGCTTATTGAGTTTGTAGGTCATCGTCCTCATCAGAATCACCATCAATCGGAGCAACATTGCGTGGTGCCTCTGGAGGAAGATCAGAAACTTCAAAGTCATCGTTGGAGTTCTCCATCTTCAGAAAATTATGCAGACCGATACATGCCCAGATCATACTTTTTTGAGTCTCATATGGAAAACCTGGAGGTTGAGACTTAAAAATATTAAACCTAGACTTAAAAATGCCAAAAATACGTTCAATACAATTTCTAAGTGATGCATGTCGATGGTTGAATAACTCATGAGCATTGCGTGGTCGCTGACGGTTGTTAGCTGGGCCAAACTCTTTAAGGTGGTACCTCGTACCCTGATAGGGAGCCAAAAATTGTAGCCTATTTGGGTAACCACAATCAACTAGATAAAATTTACCTGCATTAACATTTCTTTAGCACTGACGGCAATAAATATAAAATCTAACAATTTGATAAAAAAAATATTTACCATTTGGAAGTGGAAGACTGCATGCACTTCTACTCATTGCATCCTTCAAGACCCGTGAATCATTGGCAGATCCCTCCCATCCCACTAAGACATAAAGAAATCTAAGATCAAATGTGCATGCTGCAAGGATATTTTGAGAAAGATAGCCATGTCTATTACGATATGGAGTTTGGTCCTCGCCATACACCATACATGGAATGTGGGTCCCGTCAATAGCACCGATACAGTCCTATATATTCCCATTAACATATATGAAATGTGACTTTAAAATTATAATAATGACAACGAATGAAGACTTATATAGTGTATTTAAATTTCAATACCTTGAAATAAGGCCAAAAACGAGATTCGGATGTGACCTTTTCCGGTGGATCGTTAGGTGGAGGAGCCATCATACAAGGGGTTAATGACACAAGGGCATGTAGTGCCTTATTGAAACAAACACTGACGGCAAATCGGGATCGATCAAACCTTTCAGTGGTAATGCAATATCGTTGATTTTGAGTAACAGTGAGTAGGAAAATAGCAACCATCTCCTCAACGTTGATATACCGTGTATCTTGTAAATGCCCACGTTCTCGCAAGACCATACATAATTTCATGAAGCAATCCGGATACATACGATATACTCGACGAAAATCACGTGGATTGCTCTCCATCTTAGATTTCAAATATTGAAGGCCAAGATCCGTAATGTCATGTCTGAGTTGGGAAATGGGTAGATTTATCTCCTCTTGTGATTTGAGGTGCGAGATACTCGTTACTAGATCTCCTATTTGTGCAGCCATGTTGATAATGCGAATGAGGAGATAATCAGCAGTATCCTCATGAAATAGCAAAATAGAGACATTCTGATTATCTTCCATCCTGTATTAATAATGAAATCAAAAAATCTTGATCTTATTTTTAACATTTTCAAAAAAAAAAACTTATATAGAGAGAACGGCTCTTGAAATACACATGCCAGAATCTACTACTTAAACTTTTGTTTGTATTCTCATCCATTTCTAAAACTTTAGTATGGCGTTATCTTGAAATACCCAAGCTATGATGTTAAAAGAGAATGCAAAATACAGGATATGTGATACCTGCAACTTGGCTTCTTCCCAGGTTTTTCCAACTCCTTTGCCCAAGATTTGTCCAGCTATTTCAACCTAGAATAGTGAACATGTATTAGGTGTGAATAACAGAAACACCACAATTTCATCATAAAACATTGCTATAAATTTCTAATATAATAGAAATGGCATAGATCCTTCCATAACATTTAAGTGTCTTTGAAAAAATTCAAGAACTAATAAAGACCACTTGGTCACAAGGATACCCACATCTCAACAACACAATTTAAGGGCATGCAAGCAAGGAGTGACACAGCAAGTTCATAGATTAAGAAATAATCCTGGACAAGAGAATATGCATGCCATGGAGAATTGCATTCATCACTGATGCACAGCATAAGGCAGTGCAAGCTGAAAAGCGTTTGCATTCATCACTGTTATCTTCAAGCAATAGAATATGAAACATCACTGGTAGCACAGAACAATAAAATGAAACATCACTGGTAGCAGTGTGCAACAACTTTATATTAACCAAGTACCATAATTGCATTTGCAGAAAGTAATCACTACAAGCATTCCCATCCAAAGAATTCATGTTACAAGCATTCATAATTTTGAACATGTACATGTGCAAAATACAAAACATTCTGATTATAAATCAGAACATGTACATGTGCTTAAGATCAACTCCAAAAGATAATGCAAACAACTATCCAAAAGCATTCATGTGCTTAACATAAAAGTCCAAAAGCATATAACTAACATCTATGTTCCATTGTTCCCAAAAGCATATAACATAAAAGTCATTAATAAGCATAGTGATTGTCGTCATTTGGAAATACTCCAGTCAGACGCCAAATTATAAACCTTCTCCTTTGATCATCATTCATCTTCACAAACATATCCTTCACGTCTTGGGAAATATTTTGACTAAGGACAGTCAATCGTTCTTCATCGGTAAATTCTGGAATTGAAGCCACTCCCTCGACCCACGGTTGGTTGCGGCTTCGCAACAACCTCACCTCTGTGACTAACTCTTGTAAAGCCTTACTTATAATTGTAATTCCACTCGCCATTTCTTGCACGGCGGGTTGAGACAATGCAAAGGCGGTGGTGCGGGAAGGTGCTCTACGAATATTTCTGCTAGTGCTAGAGGTCGATGGAATAGATTCAGCCATGAGAGTGATAGGGCTTGGAGTGCAATTAGGGGGAGGTGGTGGAGGATCTACTGGTGGTTGGGTAGGTTCTGCTTCACCCATAGCATCAAGTCCAATGTCATCATCCAATATACCCTCACCTAATGCATTATGTAATGGCGCACTCTCTACACCCTCACAACCTAAGCCTCCAGCTGCTCTCCCACTAGCTGAGTGGCTACCCACAACCATCTGCATATCCTCAAAATTTTCAAACAACTTATCTTTAAGCATTGGTGTATTAGGATGAGCCTGTCAAAAAACAAAGATAACAAATTAATTTTTGTAATTAGGAAACATAACAATATATTATGTAGTAAGAAACTTTGGGTAATGCAAAATCTAACCTGTTTGTAATTTTCCCACACCTCAACAGAGCAAGTAATTCTTTGAGATATTGGGTCCCAACCAAACCCGGAATTGTTCCTCAATAGTAATTCAATTGGTTCAATCTTTCTCTTCCAGCTTTTGATCTTATTCTTGACATGATCAAATTTAAAAGTTCTTCCAAATTTAGCATTCATGAATGGCAACACATTTTGTGTGATGGTATATTTCTTGAAGTTGCCATTATCCATCTTGTTGCCATTCTTCACCTCCTCCACTAAAAGCCTTAGTAGCTCTCTATTCTCTTGCTCTGACCATACTACATAGTCACACCTAGCCTTTTTTGCCCTCTCACCATCTTGAGAGTACTCTTCCCCATTTTGAGTTTCCGAAGCAAAATTCATCCTACAACGCAATTATCAATAATGAGTTTCCATATATATATCTTGAACAATGTCACTTTAGTTTTGTAACCAGTTTTCCCATTATATATATCTTGAACAAATGAGAAACTGAAGATGTTATCAAAGATTTGCTACCTATAGATTTGCTATAATTCATGTAACCGCTACAAAACATGAAACAAGAGGGAGTCTTTCTATATTCAGTTTTTCCTGTCACGCTAAGAATAAATTAATCATGCAATAGAAACCTCAGTCATAGTAACTAATTTCACATGAATGTCATACTTATATGTGTGCTTTAGATCTAACAGTATTAGTGTGCTTATCCTCACATGAATGAAATCTTTCTAGCTCTACTGCAGGAAGTGATATAGAAGCTACCGTGTTGTACTTGAGAACATAATTTGAAGTATGGTTGTGCTCAAAGCAAAATATAACAAGTAGGTGCAGCCTCTTATAGAGCCTCCCTCATTCCTCTCCAGTCTCCAATGAATTGAGTGCATCCTCCTCGAATGCCTTCACACAGCTATCTGACTCCTTCCATGTGTAATTGTTTGTATGATTATTGCAATATGGAAATCCAAATCCTATAATTTTTGAATTGAGTGTCATTCTCTTGAGTATCAAAATAGTACCTCAAGAATAAAACAACCACCATTTTCCATTGCGTAAAAGATAATACAACACAAAACTAATCACCTTGGAAATTTATGAATTCCCTTACCAAGTATATTTCTAAACAGAATGATAGCATAAGGCAGTGCAAGCTGAAAAGCGTTTGCATTCATCACTGTTATCTTCAAGCAATAGAATATGAAACATCACTGGTAGCACAGAACAATAAAATGAAACATCACTGGTAGCAGTGTGCAACAACTTTATATTAACCAAGTACCATAATTGCATTTGCAGAAAGTAATCACTACAAGCATTCCCATCCAAAGAATTCATGTTACAAGCATTCATAATTTTGAACATGTACATGTGCAAAATACAAAACATTCTGATTATAAATCAGAACATGTACATGTGCTTAAGATCAACTCCAAAAGATAATGCAAACAACTATCCAAAAGCATTCATGTGCTTAACATAAAAGTCCAAAAGCATATAACTAACATCTATGTTCCATTGTTCCCAAAAGCATATAACATAAAAGTCATTAATAAGCATAGTGATTGTCGTCATTTGGAAATACTCCAGTCAGACGCCAAATCATAAACCTTCTCCTTTGATCATCATTCATCTTCACAAACATATCCTTCACGTCTTGGGAAATATTTTGACTAAGGACAGTCAATCGTTCTTCATCGGTAAATTCTGGAATTGAAGCCACTCCCTCGACCCACGGTTGGTTGCGGCTTCGCAACAACCTCACCTCTGTGACTAACTCTTGTAAAGCCTTACTTATAATTATAATTCCACTCGCCATTTCTTGCACGGCGGGTTGAGACAATACAGAGGCGGTGGTGCGGGAAGGTGCTTTACGAATATTTCTGCTCGTGCTAGAGGTCGATGGAATAGATTCAGCCACGGGAGTGGTAGGGCCTGGAGTGCAATTAGGGAGAGGTGGTGGAGGATCTACTGGTGGCTGGGTAGGTTCTGCTTCACCCATAGCATCAAGTCCAATGTCATCATCTGGTGGAGGATCTACTGGTGGCTGGGTAGGTTCTGCTTCACCCATAGCATCAAGTCCAATGTCATCATCTAATATACCCTCACCCAATGCATTATGTAATGGCGCACTCTCTACCCCCTCACAACCTAAGCCTCCAGCAGCTCTCCCACTAGCTGAGTGGCTACCTACCACCATCTGCATATCCTCTAAATTTTCAAACAACTTATCTTTAAGCATTGGTGTATTAGGATGAGCCTGTCAACAAACAAAGATAACAAACAAAGATAACAAATTAATTTTTTTCTTTTTTTGTAATTAGCAAACATGCAATATATTATGTAGAAACTTTGGGTAGTTAAGAATCTAACCTGTTTGTAATTTTCCCACACATCAGCGGAGCAAGTAATTCTCTGAGATATTGGGTCCCAACCAAACCCGGAATTGTTCCTCAATAGTAATTCAATTGGTTCAATCTTCCTCTTCCAACTTTTGATCTTATTCTTTACATGATCAAATTTAAAAGTTCTTCCAAATTTAGCATTCATGAATGGCAACACATTTTGTGTGATGGTATATTTCTTGAAGTTGCCATTATCCATCTTGTTGTCATTCTTCACCTCCTCCACTAAAAGCCTTAGTAGCTCTCTATTCTCTTGCTCTGACCATATTACGTAGTCACACCTAGCCTTTTTGGCCCTCTCACCATCTTGAGAGTACTCTTCCACATTTTGAGTTTCCGAAGCCAAATTCATCCTACAACGCAAATTTGATATATGTCAGATCCACTTCAGTTAATCCTAGCATGGATACATGATGATTCAAGGCAGTTTGATATATGTCAGATAATAGCTTGTCTCTATCCTGGACATATGTCAGTTTGATATATGTCAGATCATGGTTTTTCTTACAAGAATAGGTAGCGCTCTGCTGCAATTTACGTGACTGGCCTTGTTGTGATTTTGATAATGATCTGATTATAAAGGATGCAACATACAAAGGAAATGCAGAAAAATCCCGGGATATAAGGACCAAAAATATATTAGTCCAATTTAGTTTAACTTCTCCTAACCCAATCTCCTCTCTCATAAGTTTAAACTGTGGTCCTACTCTCAAATAGATGCAAGGGTTGAAATGAACATACAAAACTCCTTGAATATGTTATCTATCACCATCATCTGTGGCATTAGTATTTCATTTTGCTGCTATAAATCTATGTTGCACCTACGTCAGGGGATAACCACAGGACCAGAGTAAGAATATACGATGGAAAAATATAGAACAATTTGCAGGTTCATGAGAGTAGTTCTATTTGCTAAAGTTCTTGGTGGCTTTGGGTGTTACATTGGTTCATATCTTCTAAAAATGGACGGGATCACATGGACCTCATCCTTTCCTCCAAAAAAAAGTTGGAAGTTGTAAGAGCCTAGGATATTAACCTTTTATTCAGAAGGATTTGAATGCCTAATACTCAAAATTGAATGAACAGTAACAATGTAGCAGGAACCGAAAGTTCAGCAACAGTCCAGTAATTATACAGGTGCCAAAAAGGAGCTCACACGATAAACATTGAAGAATTATACAAGTGCATCCGTCCCACTTGGATATGATGATTGATGACACCGGAAATAGAAATAATAATTACAATACTATAGGCAATCTTACCTGATCACTGTGATTCTTCTCTTTTGCTGCCTGGTGCCTGCGGAGGACGCGGCGGAGGAGACGACGGCAGATCCGGCGCTTGAGAACGGCGACGGGTGGCTCTCAGGCTCGAGAACGATGACAGAGGAACAGGTGAACGCCCTCGAGAACGACGACGGCGATCGTGATCTCGCTTGAGCTCGAGATCGGAAGTGGAGTAATCGATCCCCTCTTTTGTTCCAGGAGGCGAAAGGGGGTAATTTTGGGTTGGGGGGCTGAGTCAAGCTTATATAGCTGGGATAATTTTAGGGGTAATGGAGCTTTTGTTCCCCAATTACACCAACAAACCAATAACACCAAAGAGTTCACTCCAGTTCCAACTATCCCAATGAATAACATCAAAAGGTGATGTTCCAAAAATTACTCCATTATCCCCCAAATTACACCAACCAATAACCCCCCCTAAGCATTTTTTTTCTCCCCATAAAGATAGAATTAAGACTATCTTGTTTATGCTGGCTAATCAATTACAATGTTGACAGTCTTGACTTTTTTTATAATCATTGTCCTGTAGAGAGATGGCTGAGCCTGAATTTTCAACCTATTTGTCGTTGGGAATTGGAATTTGCCTGGAACCTGCATTCATAGTGTTATAATATTAGAGCTTACCTCACGCTCTTTGTTATGTTGGCTAGTAAATTGCATTAATGGTCCACATTGTTTTGTGGGAATTTTCTTGTGAAGAGAAGGCCCAGAACCCTGAGTTATAGTGAATATTTGGTGGGAAGTTGGAAATTTGACTTGTGTACTTTGACTGCCCAAATTAGCATGCGGATTTAAGTTGCTTGAATTAAGGTACGAGTGTGGGTATCGGTACGGATAGGGGACATGACAAAATTGTAAAAGGTAGCGTATGGGGACACGGTGGAAACTCATGGGTTGTAATCTTACTTCTGAGCTAAATATGCAAAGGATCCTTTGAAATTGTACTTCTTTAAGGTTGAAACAAACTCAACCCTTGTCCAATAAGTTCCAAAAATGGTTGTGAATTGTAGGATATATGTCCAAGAAGTGTATGACGAGTGTTCTAAATTAAAATATGTAGTGTATAATTGAGTATATACATGAAATCTGAATAAATGTATGCATATATTTAAGGAGTGCCCATGAAGTGTCGGGTATTGGGTACGGGTATGGCTTCGTGATAGAATACTCAGGTAAGATAGATGCAGGGTGAGTCGATCTATTTAAAGAGTCTATAAACAACAATAAGAAATGAGAAGAAAGAAAGAAAGAAGAGATTCATGTAAGAGAGGAAGGAAGGGCAAAAGAAAGGATCCTGTCATCCTGATGACTGATGGATGTTTCTCTCAGGAAGGTTTTTTGTTACCCTACCACCCATACTCACTGTAAATTAGGATTAACTAGAAAGAAACATAAAATACACATAATCCTCCTGTGTTTTGTTGCCATTGAGTAACTCGTTGCCCCCCCCCCTCCCCTCTTTTGGGTGTTTGTTTGTTTGTTTTTTCTTTTTGTGGTGGGTGGGGGTGGGGTGGGGTGGGGGGGGGTTGAACCAGGAGAATTAATTGTTAACTTACATATTGGATGATGAATTGTGATCTTTGCAGTTGATGGTGTTGAGATTAAAATAATAAATTTAACTGATTCCCTCACTACCAGCATGTTTAAACCCTTCCTAGAAGAAATCATAGCTATTGTTCAACCAGGAGATTTTGCTCAAGGAATTGTGAAGAGAACTAGAAAGATTGTCCTCTCATAATAAGTTAGTGCATCGAGATTTTTGCACTTATCTTATGTTTTTATTTATGATTAGCATTTTCTGTGTAGTAAAAGCCGTCATGATGTTTTAATTTATCTGTTAGCAATGTGTTTACTGTATCAGAGCTAATCAGAATAAAACTATATTCAAATAACTAATTGTAATGGCCAAGGCTTGTGATTTATGACATGCTATTGTTATGTGCTTCAAGTTAATAATGAGAGTTAGGCATCTTTGTATTTATGTTGTGCATATGAATAAATGTATGTATATTATACATGCATATATACATACTATTAAATCGATGGCCTGATATATGCTACTCTTCTGTCATTAGGTTTGGGATTGATGTCATGGATACTGTTGCAAGTTGGACAAGAAACTTGTGTCTGAACTTGTGTCAACATCAGAATGTGACTGCAGAGAGCAATTGTAAATCTGAAAGCAGTGATACCATAAAAGATTTGTCCTCCTGGAGTGTACTTGACCTTGGAACTGGGAATGGTCTCCTACTGCATGAGCTTGCAAAGCAAGGGTAGGCTGCTGACCGCCGCCTATTTTTTATCTATAACACGTTATATGCCACATGCAACTTGGACTGCTTAATATGTATGTCTTATCATTAGATTTTAGTTGTAAATTATTTCTTATGGATCCGCTTGCACATTAATATGTATATGCTTCCCCTACCATTTTGCTCTAGATATCAACAAAATTTTACTTTTTCCATCCTTGTACCTTTCTTTTGCAAGATCGTACTCTGTTGACTGAGTTGTATGTTTTTCTCACATTTACACAACTTCGTTGCTTGAACCTCATGCCAGTGTCTAATTTAGCATCTTCGTTTGTCCTCAGATCATCTGTGTTTTCTCCTTAGGCACGGTCTCCCAACATGCTAAATGAGCAACATCTTTTACAAAGCCTCCAATAATTTCCCAGTTCAATTCCAAATTCTGTCCTTGCATCATCATAATTAAATCCTATGTTATTTCATACCCGCGAGAGTTCTGAGGACTCTAGAAACAGCTTATCCATTAGCCTGGTATGGAGGCTTCATCTTACTTTGTTTGCCTAGTTGATTTGCATACTGAGATATGAGCTGTACAATGTACATTAATTGTTTATGAAACAATGTTGAAACCTTGCCAAAGGTTCAATGTACACACTTTAACTATGAAACTTCTTGCAGTGCCAAGTAATATCATGACCACATTATGGTTCCGATGTACCAGCTAGTGTCAAAATCTTTGTGCTCTTGCTCTACCTAGATGATATTCTATTATTTTATTGTTTTTTGTTAGCCTTATTTTGAGTCTTTTTGCAGTTATCACATATTAAGCCGTTTTCTGCATTCTTCAACCTCTGGCTGTTTTGTTCTGATAATTGGTTACACTTATTTTTATTGCTGTGTCTAATTTCCAGGTTTTGTGATTTGACGGGTACTGATTACAGTGAAGGAGCGATTGAACTTGCAAGGAACATAGCAATCCGTGATGGATTTCCTAATATTAACTTTTTGGTATTGGAGTAAAATTTTTTTATTAATATATGTTGCTGAGTCATTTAACTAACTCTCTACTTTGCTCTATTCATATTGTAAATGCATGTTTAATAGGGGACAATCAATTATAGGTCTCGATGTTCTGCTTAGAATGTGTTCAGAGGATCATCTTATACTTCTGTTACCCCCTTCTCAGTTAGTGTTCATTGCTATCCTAGATATATATTATTTGTATGACTCTTCCCACCTTTCTCTACCTCCTTTTCTTATTCATACATAGCCTCTTGGTAAACTAATACGAAAACATATTAGTTTACTACTCCCTTATTTTACTTTGACAAGTGCTTTGTGTTCATGGTTTATGATATCTACTAATGCTTACCGGATGAAAAACTTCCTATTCCTACCAATAGCCATTTTTGATAAGCAAATATTTGTTAAAAAGTTCTAGTTCAAGTACTTTTGGCCTGAGTTGGTAGGATCTTATTCACCTTTAGCATTGTCATCTTTTCATTAAGCACGTTAGTAAAAAGGATTCAAATTCGCATCTATGTTGCATCACAAGATACCAAGAAGAGTCAAACATTGTTAACGATCTATGGAGATTCGTCTGTGTAAGATTTCTGCTGTCAAGCAACATTGATGTTATTATTGATTCTTGTGGATTGTTCTAGATTCATGTATGGTGATTGGTGAATCCTTATTAACTCATGATAGGCTGTGAATTCAGTATTGTGGCGATTGTGTTCTTTTTCCCATAGATACTTAGTAATTCACTTATTACCTTAAACTTCCGGGATGGATTCATGTAGTTGTCAACCCCAAGATCTGTAAAGGCTTTTCTATTGTTCTACCCTCATAGATATATTATCTTTCTCTGTGACTAAAATAGTGTGCTTTCTGACCAACTCATAAAGGTGAAGAAGTTTCACTTGATCTCTCATTCCTAAATTAATTTGGATATGTTGAACAAAGATGAATGTTGGAACGAATGCGAGAAAAATAACAAGAAAGTGAAGATTGAAGACACAGATTTATGTGGTTCACTAACGTTGTGTGAGGCAATAGAATTCAAGTTACATCAGGAGGAGTTTATATAGCACTCCAGAAAATCCTAGGCGCTAAATAACAGATTTGGGCCCAAGTAATAAAACCCAATACAGAATCTGATGTATACCACGGACTTCGTGGCGTTGTCCCGAACCCC